GTTTCAGCTCAAAAGCGAGGAGACAGTTGGTGGCCTTCCCTCGTGAGCAGAAAAAGAATAGAGAGAATGATCAACAGAGGAACTCATCTAATAAGATACAAGAAAGAAATAGTGGTTGCTAAGTGTTAGATAGATTCCGATAATGATAATCAAGAATGAGAATTTTATACTCATTATTAAATAAATTTCATAGTTCTAGTTGACCATTTTATAATTAATCTTTTTAATATGGATTATCATATTTACTCTTTGGTATCACACATATCTTATATGTTATATATTTATGAGAAATAGCGAAGCAAATGTTACGAACTAACACTGAAGAATAGAAAACTATTTAGAGCTCATTATTACTTGATCATACTTTTGTACATATAATCTTTATAATTAATTTTTATTAATATGTTTGAGCAGCATCCTCTTAATTAGGGATTGAAAGAACTTTTCTAGTGAATATTGAGCTGCACAAACCCATTTAAAAAATGGTTTATTTATTCACTTAAATTTATTTTTATGAATGAGTCGAATAAAGAATTGAAATGAAAAAAAGAAGTCATAATTCATATATAAAGTTCGATTTAACTGAGAATTGATTGTGTTTTAAAAATTGATGAATTAAGTTGGATTAAATGTACTATCTTCAAGTAAGTTCATGCTAATGAATATGCGCCAAAACATAAGAAATACTGAAGCAAATAATGGTACATATAAAGCCTAAAAAAAGAATGAAAAAAGTCAAAAGTAATTTTATTATCATCGAAGATCCCTCTTTTTTTAGTTTCTCATTAATATATCTTATTATATACAAAAAATGATGATTTCTTTTATGAAAATTTTTTATATTTTTGTCATAAAACAATACCAAAAGATTTCTTTCTCAAAAATCTTTTAGCACTCACCAATGTAATCCAACATATTATTAATTCTATATTGGTCCATTTATGTGTCAATACGTAGTGCAAAAATAATATCACGATTATCGCAAGAACCAATACAGTCAATGTCCCTAATAACGACACTAAAAAAATAACATGTCTTGTTTGATTTGGTGCATAGCCATTTTACATTCAAATCAAAATATTTTTACACATGCATGATCTTGGAAGTGTCCTCTTTCGAATGATATAAGAACCATTTTTCTCTGACACGTAGTCGCGGAGAAATCAGCAGTATACGAAAACAACCTGCGTCTGCTGTTATTAGGGTCCATTTCCCTAATAACGACAGTCAGCTAGTTTTTGACCCTAAAAATGACACTAATAAAATGCAAGCAAAAATGCGCTTTTTGAGAAAAAAAACAATTTTCACAGTTTCTGATCGAAAATCAAATAAAAGTCTCATTGGCATTAGTCCTCTTATGTTTTCTAATGTTCAATGACTGTATCAGACTATGTAATGCATCGCATACCTCTGATGAACTCCTTAGTAATCTATTTTTTTTTCGACAGATAAAAAAGTTGACCCGTAAAATATTCAGTATTTTGTTTTCAGTTGTGTTATGAGAAGTGTAGGATGAATACTTTCAAGTATTCAACATTATCAACGCAACAGGTATTCAGTTTAGCAAATTATTTCTCTGAACAGAAAAGTATGTTATTCGACTGCAAATCATTGATTGACAGAAAACAGTGCTACACAATTGAAGAGAGATGTAACGCTTATATTTCGTTTTGATCACCAATAAGAAAGAGGTTCCTATTACTCGAAACAAACGAGAGTAAAGACCAAAATCAATTGTATTGAAGTGTCGAGACAACTCTATCAATCTGAGTGAAATCGCATGATTCCGACCTATGTCCGAAGATCCGCTTGAAAGAATCTGGTTCTAATAAGCTAGCATCAAATTTCAAACCGACAAGAATAGATAGTAAACTTTGATCTTAGCCAACAATGTCGAGAAGCGATACCGAACAAATCAAACAGTAATACTCACCTTTCCTTCTATTCTTCATTGTTGTCACCAAGTAATGTTGTCAAGGTAACAGTGTTCTCTTCATGATGATGGCGAACGACATCAGATAATTTCTAACTGAAATCTTATACGACTTGTTTTCATCGCGAGACGAACGACATACTCATCAATCAAAAGTTGTCAAAGATTAATAAAGGTATTAGCATGAGACTTCGCAATACTTCTATTAGTAATGACTTACCACGCAGCACATGCAATATATAAATCATTCGATCTTTTCGTTCTTATTTAATTGTTACGAAGATGTTGTTCTCGCAGGCTGATTTTCTCATTAGCCCGCTCATTTTTGTCATCGCAACATATATTTGATTAGATTTGATCATTTACCTCTTGGTAAAGTTGTAATAACCACTCTTCTCAATCACTAATTGCCGTACGACATTGCTCATGTCTATACGCATTCGGTTTCGTTGAGGAAGATCAAGGAAAACGAATGTGTATGTAGTTATCTTGTAGTAACGTCATCACTGTTCATTTGCTAGCTTTGCATCTTGTCGTAACGATGCCATCATTGTTAAATAGAAGAGAGTCAAGTGTCATGGAAGAATAAAAGAAAAAAAAAATAAATGTTTGGTTGTTAGTTTTCGGTTGTTACTCATTATATTGCTTGCGATGACTAAAGCAGGCACAGGAATTAACAAAAAAAACAGTATGCTTCTAACTAACATAATCTAAGCATAATACTTCTAATTTTCGTAATCAGAAGAAGATATTGCTCAAGTTTTTTAATCGACAGATTTTCTATTTTCTATAATAATTCTGTATTTCGAGTTGCTTTTCTGTCGTCCGAAAGATAGAAATATTTTAGGATCTTTTCAGCATTTTTGAATATTAGTTAATAAGACAACATTTTTTAGCAATTAGACTAATACTTTAAGTTTCTCAAAGAATTTTCGTTCACTTTTGATCGTATTTTTATTTTTATACGATTAAAGTAATGATTAGTGATTGATTTTATTTCGCTTTGTTCAAATAGAAAAATAAAGATATTTCATCACTAATAAATAAAGACAGATCATCTGATCAATTCAAAGTGTCTAGCTACTATTTAAACACATAACTCAAGATGATATGAATATTGAAAAACTGCTATATTTTACTTGAAGTCTATCAATTCAATTATAGTGAATCATTATTACACTTTCAGACGATTTGTTCATCGATACGATGGAAGTGTATTGATTATGTATGATGCTGAGTGAGCTGGAGTAGCATAAAATTTTATTTTTATTCTCGTTTTCATGAAATATATGTTTCTAGAAACAAATCTGACAATATTAATCACACAAAATATAAACAATATAATGAATTTAAATTTAGACAAATTCATTTACAAATAAAACCATAATAGTCGTTTAGCCAGATGATGAGTCATGGGCATCCTTGCACAGAAGACGAACGGTCTTGTTGAGTTGATCGTCAAAATGACACATCAAATCGTTCAATTGTCTATAATTAGAGATGAATGGAATTTATTTTCTTAATTGATTATAGTTTCACTTACTTTTTTTGCTCTTCAAATGTGTGCAATATATCTTGTTCAGTGAGTATCTGTGGTTGATAATATGATCTACTATCACTTTCGAGCTTGTTACGTAGATACATACTTGGCTTTAAAGCTGTCACGGGCCAACAATATCGGCCAACATTAATGAAACCATTTTCAAGAATAGTTTTGGTATGTTTTGATGATGTAAAATCAATTTGAACACGTTCCGTTGGAGCTTTTGACTCATCTTTATAATACCATCGCTTGACATATCTAATACCACGGTAAATTTTTGATAGTTCTTGTTTAAGATCCTCATCAGGAATGTGCGTAGGAACATCGTGGACGAGAATTTTATCAGTAACTTGTTGTTCCTCGGTGAATCTTTCTGATTGACAATCTGATTCATTGTCACTTTTAATTTCGTTCTCAAGACGCATAGTTGGTTTTAAAGGTGCCACTTGACAGCGAAGGTTACCTATGTTAATAAACCCATCTTGAAGAAACCTTTCGGCGTATTTTGGTGATATAAAATTAACTTGGACAAGATCCTTTGGAATTTCATTTTCATGTTTATCTTTATCTTTACGGTACCATCGTTGAACGTGTTTAACACCTTGATAAGTTTTTAACAGTTCGCTTCTAATATAATCATCCGAAAGTTCGGTATCGACACCGTGGAGGAGAATTCTATCCGTAACGTTTAATTGTTTGGTCGTCATTGCTATAATACTGTATGTGACTGTTAACTATTTATAAATGATTTCATTATTTGTTGTTACCTATGGGTGATGTAAGGACACAATGATGACATATGGTTATTTCCTTTTCTGAGTAATAACGAAAAATTTCAGCATACGTGAGACAGACTTGATAAGAAAATGTTTCATAGTTTTGTGAAAGAATCAACATTGAAAAGCATGGTATTACTCATAGTGTAGATAAAATGTGCAACATTCCGTCTCGTATTCACCTGAATATTCGAGAAATTTCTGGATCCAAAATTACTCGACATATTTTTTGCCACGTTTTGGTAATTTCCATGTCGATCCTATTGCGTAATGTTTCCAGAACAGAAGAGAAAAAAAAGAAAAAGATTCATCTTAACTCTTTCAATGTTTGCGTTCTGTTTGAAGAACGAAAAGAAAAAAAATGAAGGCTATATCATTATGTAGGTATTTTTTTTCTTTCTTTTCGAAGAACTACTAGTTTTGATGCATATTTCTTTCGAGGAAGAAGAAGAACGTTATTTTGAAAAAAAAAAGTTGAACCTACAATAATAGATTGTGAAAATATCAAATCGATGAATCTTGCATGACGATTATATCAGCACTAAAGATACAGAACTACTACTAATAACATAAGCGAAACAATTACAAGAATGAAAAATGAATGCACGTATTCGATAGGATTTCGTTTGTATTCGTACTGAACAACTTGAATAAGTCCTTGATAAATGTCATCCAATAAACTAAACCTAAGTTCTCACTTTCTGATAGTTAAGATCTGCTGTTTGGAAGCATTTATACGAAGAAAATGGATGAAATCAATTGAATTACTTTTCGTTCCATCTTACACATGGGATATGAATGGAATCTCAGTATGACACAGATTTCTTAAATTGAAACAGTTAATCGTCAAACAATTCTTCAGCATAAATTATTTACAGTAGTTCAATTGTTGACTAGAAATTTTTGATTTCAACATATTTATAACTCATTTATTGTTCACTTAAAATAATTTTTTTTCGCGTCTTCATATAAACAATCTATGATCAACGATTGAAGATCTAATATCCATATAGTATTCAGTTCGTTTATTTGCTACATATGAGCAAATGTTCCTGGATTTGGCTCCAACTGTTTCAATTTGAACTGTAAATGAATTTTGTTGGTGGCGACATTGTAGTACCGATTTTACTTCATAGAAAATATCGTTCTTTCTCGGACATAAATTATAAGGGGCAAGTGGGACTTTTTTTTCCTTTTAAATTTATTTCTTACGAGACCTATTGAAAATTCTTTGATTGTGTCAAAATTCAAGCATGCCAATACTTTACATAAGACGATAAGTTCCTTTAATTGTTAAAAAGTGAAACTGGTGATGAAAAATCTACGAATTTACGAAAAAAACAATGAATGCTCCCTATATACTCATACGAAAGTTCTGATTAGATCGTTGAGTTTCTATTTCGTAAAGGTTTCTGTAAGTGGACTCCTTCTTGAGAAATTTGATTTTGAACTAAGCTTGTAGACTGACAAATGCACTTTCAGAATATGTAGACAATTAATCGTAAATATCACTTCTTGCTGATTTTGTAACGATATTTCATTGACGCCTGCTATAAAGCGGACAGCTTTTTTAAGTAGTTCTAAGTTGTTTCTCGCATTTGCACAAAAACGAACATAGAAATGACCCTAATAACATAATTTTTATTGAAAAGTTTTTTGAATGGTCTCATTTCGAACGAAGAAGTGAACCTCTAAAATGGCACTATAGTTCTTGATTTCGTCACTAGAATATCGAATTTTCAAACGTGCTAAAATAGTTTTAATAATATTTTTTTTCAAAAAACAAGACTATAGTTAAAATCCAAAAAAGGTTAAAGTGGAATAGTACAAAATAGTATGCCATCGTTTAAGACGTTTCATGGCTCCATGTGTTAAAATTGTGAAACTACAATTATTTATGGCAGAACCTATTTTTTCACTACTCCAGGTTTTTTACATCTTTAACGATGCAAACCGTTAGTAGATTAATTCTTAAGAAAAATAAAATATGATTTTAGCGAGCAAAACTTCTTGTGATCCAAATGGTAAAATAACATAGAGTTTCAATGGTTGGAATTTTTCGACGAATGCTTATTTTATCTAGATGTAGAAAAGCACAAATTTTTAATCATAGCGAGCGATGGTTAATTATCTCAACACATTGTAAGATTAGGACCTTGTCGTCTCCTACATTTAGTTGAGAAGCCTTTCTCTACTGAATGACAGTATTACAGATACTCATTCAAATTGACTTGATAGAACAGTAAGAAAAGGATTGCATAGCACTGAAAGAGAAACAAAATGCGTGCACTAACTTACAAATCCATCTTAGCTGATGAGACTTTTGCATGATTCTTCTTGAAACAATATAACAGTTACATTGATGTCAAAAAGTAAAACCAACATTTGTTCATCCTAACGAAATCGATCGAACACAAGCACAGAAATGCACAATGAAACTGTCAGGCATGGTGAGTATATATGTTTTATAGATGCCACTGATGAAAAAGAATCATTATTTGAATTTTCCGTAGGATAGACTAAAAATTTGAAGTTTCTCTAAGGTAATATTAAACTGCTCTTAATTCTAGTTTCCTTGTCACCATATTCATCGAGATTATTTTTTTTAATGCACAATTATATAAAACGAAGTGTGAATTATGGATGTAACTGGTCGTCTTCTATTTATTCACATCGATACTCAATACATAGGATTATAAGAGTAAATATATCAGAGTACAAATCTTGCAATTCTAGATTTTTTGACCTTACATATAAGATGCTGAAAATACATATCTTATTTATGGAAGCGCATGAGTCATCGAAATTACGAATTACATTTGTACTTGCGCAGCTCTGTACGTAAGAATTATTTGTGGCATTTTGTTTATTTTTTTAAAATTTTATTATCGAGTTTCATACACTAAAATTTTAAAAATGTGCACAAATTTTCAAAAAAAAAATGCCTGTTTTATCACAATATTTTCTTAGATAAAAGATCGGATAAAACTAATGAACTTTTTAATAGAAATTTTAGAATAATTTTTTATTGAAAAGCTCGCATACATTTTGAAATATGTTTTTAAAAAAGTTCTTCTTTGAATTCTTGAAAATATTTTTTTTGTTAAAATTTTTTTCTGGTTCTCATATTGAACTGTTGTTATTTAAAGTATATCAATAAATTCAATGTCCCAATGCGAAGTACTGCACAAGGTTTACTGTTGAAAATCAATATTTTCTTATAAAAAATGTTCTTCGTTCCACATTTGAAGACATAATGATGTATTTAATTAGCTTCTCAAAATGAACTAAGAAATTTTTTTAAAAGCTGAATATTATGATTAAACGACATCTATCTTTTACAAATTTATCAATACCCCTATCGTTATCCAACAATAAGTGAAGAAAAACATGGATGGGTGTGACTTCGGTGGATCAATATACGTCATTGTTAATATTTGGATCTATTTTTAGTTTAACAGAAAAAAATAAAAATGATGCGTAATAGCTGTATACAAAGACTCACGTGTGTTCATCTCAAAATAACTTTCGATAGGTAATATGTATGTCTTATAATCCATTTTGTAGGTGAGGTATTAAACATCACTATTTAAAAGAAAGGTAAACGAGAATTATGTGCACGTTTTTGCGTACGAAATAAGCAATACGATAAAGTAAGATAGTATTATACGAGAAGGTTAACAAGTATAGCGTACTATTAGAGAAGAAAAAAAAAACTCGAGCATTGCCTTTTTCGTCGACTAATACATTATTGCAACATAGTAAACGGTTACTTTGTTAGCGGTAAGAGTTCATTAAATTTTATTTCGAAAATAATTAGTCACTGCTAAATAGATCTCATGATGATCTGTCAACATAACTTTCTATTTTCGTTTGAAGATCTTTAGTAAATTATTAAATTTTATCTTCTAAAATATAGCTACAGAAAATATTAATATATCAACATAATATCGAACGAAATCAGTGGTGTCACTTTTTATTAGCCTCCTTTATTCTATAAGATGATTGCCTGTCAAGAAATCTTATATATATCTCGATGCTACTTTTCATGCTCTATTCGATTATGAAATCAGAACAATAAAAAAAAAATGTACACCAAGTTTTCAGAGATTCTTCGAAAAAATCAAACATAGAGTTATTAATATTTTAAACTTTTCAACAATGACATCATATTGAGCATAACTTACAACCTGTTTCTAGAAGTTTTAATGATTTTTGCTTCTTCCTATCAGAAGATAAATATTGGTTTCAAACAAATTTAAGAGGAAGTTAATTTAGTCATCGAATCGAACAAACTTCTAGAAATAGATTTTAAGTTATGCTCGATTTTTCAAAGGATCTCCGGAAATCAGGTGTTACACTTTTTTTTACTGCTGTAGTTTCATATTCGAATAGAGCATGGAAAATAGTATCGAGATGTATATGAAGTTTCCTGACATCCGATCACCTTATAATTAGAATAGAGGAGACTAATAAAAAACGACACCACTGATTTCATTCGATATTATATCGATGCACTGGTATTTTCTGGGACTATATTTACTTGGAATTAATAGAGCAACAAATTCTACACACAGTACTACAATTTAGAAGATAGAATCTTATGATTTACTAAAAAATTTTGAAGCGAAAAAAGAAAGACATTGACAGATCATCATGTGATATGTTCCTCATTGAAGCACATTTTTCATTATTAGAAGTTTATTTTTCCAAAATCTAAATACTATATTTTTGATTAGCATGAAAACTACGTTTTGAAAGAATTGAAAAAAAAATTTCAAGAGTCCTAAAGGGTATTCTACAGGATGCAAAGCTCTTATATTGAAATAGTGTAGAAACTAAATTTCAGGAAATGCTTCCAACAACTCTGATATATACAAGGTGTCTCAAAAGTCACTTTACACTTGACACTCAACACATTGCACACATTTAAATATTATTTAACATTATTAATTATTTAGAATTTATAAATTATTATTAACTGTTTATAGAGTGTCTCAGCGTACTTTTTGATAGTAAATAATAACCCATAAATAATATATAATGAAAAATAATTTCCTACTCTGTAAAGTGCCAAGTGTAGAGTGACTTCTGGGACATCCTGTATACAATGAAAACATATCGAAACAATGGTCTTATGAGCACACTTTCTTTCTTTCCGGAAATGAAGTATAGTTCTTATTATCATTTCTTCTTGATCAATAACTTTAAGATCTAGTATAATATAAATCTACAATAATTTGTTAAAGTTTATCAATCTATTAAGTTTTGTATAGTAATTTAACGTTTTTATATATATTAAAATTCCTATATGAAACAATTCTTGATATTTTTCTCATAAACTATTTCATATTCAAAACGATATATTTTTATTCATTTCTTTCTTTTTATTAGATGACAAAAACTAAAACATCAAATAATTATTATTCTTTACTGATTGATTACATGTGTTATATGATTAGTGATTTTCTATATAAAGTCGATGTATTTCGATTCGAAAGAGTACTTCATGATGATTTGAATTATCAAAAAGAAAAAATTATTAAACTTGCATAAGATTTTCTAGTAGTTGCACTGAATTGTCTTATATCAAGATATGAATGATTAAATCATATATTTAAAAATATAGTTAAAATTAAGTAGACTTTTTTTTTGAGGATAGACAATATCCTGTTTAAGATAATATTTCATTCAATATGATCATTTAAGTTTCAAGATATCTGATTTATTTTAAGTAAATAGTTGGCTTATGTTCTATAGTTTCATATCGGTATTTTTATAATTGTATTGAATTTGGTGAGCACTCGATTCATAAAAAAAATGCTTACTTATAACAAACATGAAGGTAGTTATTTTATTTATTCATTAAATTATCAATTTCTTCAAATAAGAAAAAAATGAGATTGTCGATGTAAAGAAAGCAATTTAATAATTATTATCTTTTTTTTCCTTCATTTTTAGGAAAATCTGTATTTTTTGTGCTCACTTTCATCAAATATATATGTTATTATGGCAGAAGAAAATTTACAAGAACACACCGATAAATTTGATGTTGGAATCAAAGATCAATTCGGTGATTTAATTGCTAATAGTCCTAATCCTGCTAATCCAAATCCTCGAAATAATAGTGATTGTCCAAAACCAAAACCGAAAATGTCAACAGTAGAAGATTTACCTCCTCCTGTTTCAGTTTCTCTTGAAACACCTACTGTTACACGTCCACCAAAACGGTTCGCATCTACATTAGGACCATATTATCAATTTATAACAACTGATTTAAATAAAATGTTATGGATTGGAAGTGCATTAATATTTTGTGAAATTTCATTTGATCAACCAAAAATCGAATTTTTTTGTGAACCAAAAGTAGATTATAATTATGAAATATTATATGAAAATTTATTCAATATGCGAATTTATCGAATTAATATATCTATTGAATTACGTGATGGTGAAGGTGATGATAAAATTTGTTGGAAAATTAATTGGGGTAATTATTCAACAGATGGTTTATTTCATATTGCTCGTTATCATCAAAAATGGCGTGGAGGATTTTTCTCATGTAATGGATTTGATTCTACTGTACCGGAACAAATACAAAGTGATCTTAAACATGGTAATGTTTGGGAACATCTTAATTCTGTTCATGATGAAACACCATTACATATATTATTATGGGGTGGTGATCAAAATTATATTGATTTTATATTTGAAGATATTCCATATTTACAAGATTGGGTCAATATGGAATGGAATAAAAAATGGACAAGTGATTTTCATAATGATTTAAAAGAACAAGTTGAAGAATATCATTTTAATTCTTATATTCAAAATTGGGAACGTAAAGAAGTTAAAAATGCTTTAGCATCTATACCAAGTTTAATGATGTGGGATGATCATGATATATTTGATGGTGCTGGTTCATATCCTCCATTACTTCATGATAGTCCTATGATGACAGGTTTATTTAAAACAGCACAAAAATTTCGACTTTTATTTCAACATCATACAACATTAGAAAAAGCACGAGAACATGGTCTATTTGGATATCAAGGTTATAATTTACTTGCACATTGTGGTCCAGATTTAGTTATTATAGGTACAGATGGACGTACAGAACGAAATATAGAAACAGTTCAACATGTAGAAACTTGGAATATGATATTTGAAAAATTAGAAAATCATGTTATAAATATAAAACATTTAATTGTTGTATTTCCTGTACCTTTTTCATTTGTTCGATTTAAATTAGCTGCATCAATTTTTCATCGTTTAAAAAATCTTCCAAATAAATATCGAAATATTCCTATTGTTAAACAAACAAATTCAGTATTTGGTTTACCTGAACTTTATGATGATCTTCTTGATGAATGGACACATGAAGCACATATTGATGAACGTAATCGTGCATTATCACGTTTTCAAGAATTAGCTAATAGAAAACGAATAAGAATAACATTTTTTAGTGGTGATGTACATTGTTGTGGTGTAAGTCGTTTTCAAACTCGATTAAAACATAATTTAAAACCTATAAATGATAGTAAATTAATGTATCAAATTATTTCATCTGCTATTGTTAATATACCACCACCACGAAAATTTCTTCGTGTTGCTCATTATTTTCGAACAAAATGGCATCCTATAGAAAATACAGAAGAACAATTAATCGATTTTTTTCAACGTTTACCAGAAGATGGAAGAAAATTATTACATAAAAAATTACTTCCAAATCGTAATTGGTGTTACTTTGAAATATGTGAAGAAACAAATCCATCTGTTTATAAAATTATTAAAACAACATTTTGTTATGGTTTTTGTCAATCTAAACAACGTTTTACTCCTGCTATTGAATTAGGTCCCACATCGACATCTGATGGTCATGGAGGTACACAACCACCAATACATCAGCATTCTCATAAACATGCTTGTAAAGAAACTAAAGAAGCTGGCCAAGAAGAAATAGGAACACAAACTTTAAAAATTAGACTATGGTTAGAAAGTAGTGAAGAACATAAAGAAGGAAGACGTTTTGTCAGCTATGAATTATTAATCCCAAATTTAGTGTAAATATGTACAATAAATAATAATACGAATATTGTTACTCAGGTAGATACTTCCGCAATACTTACTTTCTAACGACATTTGATTTTGTTACATTTGAAAATCTGTTGAGGGTGAAGATTAAGATAATGTCTACATCTAATTTTACTATGTTGTTAATCGTTTTTATTTTTATTGATAGAAGTTTTTAAAAAGTATCGTTATAGAGAAAATATGACGGACGTATCTGTTACAAGGGAACAAACATCGTGAATTTACAAAAAGTTTATCCTATTTAAATATTATCATAAAAATTTGAATAATTAATGAAAAAACTCTTTTAATTTGATGTGAAATTGTAAATTTTTTTTTTCAACTTCATAAAATAAATTTTCTGTAACATATTATACTCGGGAAAAGATTACTACTGGTTTTTTTTGTCGTTTGTAGTTTTAATGTAATATAGCATTTTGTTAATAAAAATATTTTTCGATGCTTCAGTGTTAATATTATCGGATTTGGTTTTTTTTCCTTTAATAAAATTTTGTATATTTATAATTATTTTTTATCTTGTCATTATCATTCTATTTTATTTTTCTAACTACCACTCGAGATTTACTTTATTATTTGGTCGAACAGTATGCTCAAAACTTGGTAAAATTTTGTCTATTCTTAATGTGATTGACTTTGATAAATTGGATTAACATATAATCTTATGCTGAATGAATTTATAACTAAACGGTTTGTTTTAAATTATTAGCAGTTCTAATGATAGATCAGATTTCCTGTTGTGCACTAACATTGAAAATGCAATTATTTGAATAATTCTTCCAATAAACTTTATTCTGGCACTGATTTAAATCAGTGCACAAATATGGCATTCATCATCAGATCATCATTATGTAAGATTATAATAATCTATTTTTTTTTGCTCTTGTTTATTTTATTTTTATTTCTATAATCAGTCATTTTAATCGCAATATATATTAGTTGAAATAGTTTTATTCATTAGTTGTCTCTGTAGCTCATTAGTTTTATTCGTACGAGAATAATTACCTCGGTTTTAATCAAACGTATAGCATAGGGTTTTATTGGCTCGAACTTATATGGAGAACTTATAAGTATTGATGAGACAATCAATGAACTTAGGAACACGAATGACTTAATTTCTTACAATATAATCATAAAAAGTACAATCGCAGAAAATTAGATCTTTGGGCATGTATGATAGTATATATCGTATTACTTGTAACATGAAATAACATGCTCACGATGTAATCCCTGAAGAAACACATTAGCATTCATATCTATTTGTTCATATCCATACATTTCAATATTGTTTATAGCACTTGGCAATATCAAATCGATGAATAGCATACTCTTTATGACGGCGAGATAGATTTTCGATATTTTTATCCAAATCTTTCTATATAAATGACAGATATAAGTTGATATAATAATATTAACCAGAATACTCTTACTTGAAAAGATGTTTGTATCAATCCTACTACAAAGTGACGGAAGAGTAATTATAATAGTTTGAATGGGACTCTTTTCTTCATCCACATACTTTTCATCTTCGAATTTCAGTCACTACAGTTTAGTTGATCTCTCCAGAAATAGCTTTTAGATATTTAATTATTATTTGGAATCTAATTCATTTTGATCATCTCTTTTCTTTCGAATCACATTGAACTTTAATCAGAACTAAACGATTCCAAAATTAAATCTTAGTCAAGATAATATATGATATTCTGAATTTCTTTGCCATTTGTTGATGATCATCAATGGAATGCACGCAAACTCATAGGAATTTCAACAATTAGTTGAGAAACAACGAATCTTCATGACAAAAGTGTGATAAATCGAAAGAAAGCATAATTTGGTTCCCATTGTAGTTGAAACTTTTACCGTCTCGAATATTTATCGAATCATTTTTCTATCGAATCCGATTAATTGTATAAATACTATTGAGTGTTAGAATTTACGTTGCATCTCGATTTATCAATTAATTCTATATATTTGAGTAATCTGTATAACTAAGGTTATTCGTTGTGGTTTCTATTTTTCCTGAAGTAGATATTTGAATGAAGATGAAGTTCTATTAATTGACATTATTCGTAACGAACAAATTGAAGATAAAATCTGGATCGAATAAATCGAGGCGATCCTCAATGTAAAACACAAAGCTAGCAAAATAGGAGTTTTTTTAATAGTTGGTTGAGTATATCACCACTTATTAGTAGTGTCACAACCCAGATCAAGCATTACGACGAGCAGATACGTTCGTAGACGGCCGAAAGAATTAATGTATACTATCGTTTCATACAGTTTGCGGCCGTAAGTTGACGCTTGGTATGCACCGTATTACGATCGTATTTTACCATGTCATAAACGGCTAATTACGGTTCAAAAAATTCAGTATCCGACTGCTTACGGCCATTTACGATACGTTGAAATACGGCCGTAATACGGTGTATACCAAACGGTGAAAAAATTAACTGAAACGGCTGTTTACGATCGTGCTTCTTTAATCTGGACGAGTTAATTTCAAATAAATATAATTCTGTTCATTGGCACAGACATTACTTGATGTTCAATTGCAGCAATCCAGAAAATCTTATTTATTCACTTTCGATAGAGCAACAATTTATTTCAACATTTATTTACTCTTTTAAGGGTAGACTTCATTACATACATCATAGTCGTATCGAGACCCATTAATAATACTCTTTTCATGTCAAACTCTACGAAATACGTTTCAATATAAATTCAAAGATGACGTAGATGTAATTTTGATTTTGTTACAAAAGAAAAACGAATCGGGACTAAAAGATTTTCGTTGAGCAAATGTTAGAAAATGCGAATTTAAGATGAACAAAAAACTCTTCAATCTTTAGAGAAACTTAAGAAAGACAAGCATTTTGATAAGATGTTTTTATTTAAAAATATTCTCGTGAGTCCTTATACACTCAATCATGCTCTACATCATCTTTTAGTAAAAATTTCTCATTTAGAAAAATAATAATGAAAGATTGTACATCACGTATATATCGATATTTTTCTACTTTGAAATTAAATAATTGCAAATTCTACAAGACAAAATAATATATAACCAAAACTTTATAATTCTAGAAAAATTTACCATCATTAAATTCACACTAGACGAACGTGAAAATAGTCGAACACTTGTATCAATGAAAAATATTAATTTATTCTATAGTTTCTTTAGTTATTATTGAATCGCTCATCAAAATATGGAACATCAATAAGCATTTTCTAGCGCCATCTTCTTCCAATAATTTAGTATCCAATCGATTTGTTAACCAATTAACTATCTTCATGTTGTTTGAGCAAAACTGTTGCATGGTATCTACATCCAAAACTCTTGGACAACGTTAAATTAATTTATTTTACATATGAAGAAAAAAAATGTATTCACTGAAATATAAGTTGTTTCAGCATCGAATTTTTAATAATAATATTTAGTTTGTTAATGATTTTTCTTGTGAATTTCTGACATTGATTTTGATCCATATGTCATGTTGAAAAATAAGAAATGAAGGAACAAGGCAAAATTCTCATTATCGGACACATTATCATTAACATTATGTTATCTGTCATGGAAAAATCATTTATCTTCTCAAAGAAATTCTTTAATTATCAATGATGCTACAATATGTTCATAAATATTGTATTCTAATGGAAAGTTAATACGAGATTTATGACAATCCCAAATATTTGTTGTACATGGTCGTCAATGATTTATTCATAATTGTGTTATAATACTCTGATCATTACAAAAAATATTTTAAGTTGTTTTATCAACTATTCTTGTTGATCCATATCAAATTATTATTGTTTGAATCAATGTTCAGATCTGAAGCATAACGTAAATGATTATTACATATTACCAGTGGCAATAAGAATAATATGGAGATATTACTCATCCATATTGAACAAAATCAAATGAATATGATCAAGATTAATATTTTGATTCGATGCAAGAAGATGGTAGTATTAAACAAGGACCTTATCAATCCATTATTCATGATCGAAAAGAATCAATGAATTTGAAATGACTTTTTTCAACTAGTAAAGAATAAAAATATAATTTTTTTGATAATAAACTAATTGTTTTTAATATCTTTAGATGACTGATTCTTTTGATATTGTAATTCAATTTCTTGATGCTCATAATCTCGAAAATACTTTATGTTACCAAGTCGAATCTACGTTGAAAAGAAAAACTTATCAACATCTGACTTTTATTCTTAATGAACATAATTTGATTCTCGTATAATTAATACAATGATGAGTATGTTTGTATAAAAAATCTTCTACAATCAGAATAACATTTGAAAGAATTTTTTTTAATACATATTCATTTAAGGACTTTTCTTTGAAGTTTATCTAGAGTAATGAAAAAAAATTATTCAAATATTCAGATTTTGGATAATTTTCAACGTATATTTGTCATCATTATATATCATCATTGAAAGATTCGCTTAGAAAAGATAAAGATGATTTTGAACAAAAAAAAAATGTCATATAGACTTTATATCAATCATAAAATTAGTTTTTAAAGTTTTCATTGTACAAAATATTTTAACTAATGTAGAATACGAGTACAACTTGTTAAGTGAATGTTTAAAATTTAATAGAAAAGTATTGAAATGTCGGTTTTAATCATATTATTAAAAACGCTCGTGAGATGTTTGATTCAATGTATGAAGTATAATCTATGATTCTTAAGTATCTGCACAAATGTCGAGGCATGGCATATTCGAACAGAAAATGTTGGAAGCCTAACTTTTTCATACACAAATAAAGCAAAGTATGTATGTACTTTGAAATACATATTCAGAATAAAACTTAGGATATAATTTGAGACATTAAATTTGGATGTTTTTAAAAAAAGAAGACAGTGAAATCTCGATCTTCTATTTTTCTACGTATCCACAATAGTCAGCAATTAATGTTAAAAGCAAAACAGATAGATGTCACGGTTCTTAACGAAAGTTTTA